ATTGTGTGACATGCACTGACCTGAAAGGTTGTCGTCATTGTGTGACTTGCACTGACTTGAAAGGTTGTCGTCATTATGTGACTTGCACTGACTTGAAAGGTTGTCGTCATTATGTGACGCACTGACTTGAAAGGTTGCCGTCATTATGTGACTTGCACTGACTTGAACGGTTGCCGTCATTGTGTGACTTGCACTGACTTGAAAGGTTGTCGTCATTATGTGACTTGCACTGACCTGAAAAATATCCGCTACCATTTTACCGGGACCGTTAATTAGATGCAACGAAAAGCACATCAGTTCCTGTCCAGGCATGAATAGGCTACTTGAGGCGGAGCTGGCTACTTCATCTCCACCAGCTGTGAACAAGTCTAAAGTGGTCTGGCGGCAGTTGATTTTGGGTATGTATTTTATTGTATATGAGTTATGAGTTAAATACCAACATCATAGCCCTTGGGTCATCTCTATAGACGCCCCTTCCCCATCTTTAGCAGCAAGCGCAGAGTTCCAGATTCCTATGATACCAGTAACAATCTGATGTATGTCCGTCTCGCCTTTCCCTGAGTGTTGAGCATCAGCCAGATCCCTTGGTAACTTCTCGCTGTACCAATCTCGTCAGACTGTGATTTTCAACTTTTGCCACAACACAGTTTCCTCGCTCCTAAAGGGCCCTTTCAACATCTATCTTCTCGCACATCGCCGTACCACAAACTGACGCAGAATCAGCCACTCTGTCTGCCGGTTTTCTCGACCTAGCGGCACGACCTAGAGAAAATATCCTAAGGACGCTGACTGTCCGGGATCTCTGAAGATTGTGGACCAAAGAAAACGGTGAAAGCAGTACCGGAAATAAAATGCAAATTAAAATAAGAAGGCGACTGGAACAAATAAAACACATATTTTGTTTTAGTGCTATCAATGCCTGACCTGTACAACAACAACAACAACAACAAACAACAACAACAACAACAACAACAACAACAACAACAACAACAACAACAACAACAGCAAAAGAAAAGAAAAGAAAAGAAAAACAACTAAAATGAGATTCCTACGAAAGACACTCAATATAAAGAGATTAGGCTAGGAATTATGAAATCCGAATGAAAAGGGGAGTACCGACACCTCTGGATTGCATTAGAAGACAACTGGTGAAATGGTTTGTCCATGCGGGTGTCGTCAAAGAGTATACCACAGCATGCAATGATGTACAGACCAGGCGGGACACGAAGAAGAGGCCGACCATGCAAACTATGGACAGATAGAATAACAGAGTCCCCAGGAAAAAACCCATTTACGAAGCATACAAACGGGCGCTTTTCCGTAAGTATACTTCCCCTCAGCACCGCAAGGTACAAGAGGATCAAGATAAGATGAGTTAAATAACCGATATCACAGCACTTGAGGCATTCCCAAACGTCCTGATCTTCAAAAGCCAGCGCAGAGTTCCAATACTACTGGCGCCAGTAGCACTCTGACTATACAGGTGTCTTGCCTCTCCTCTGAGCCTGGAGAATCAGCCGGTGAACATGAAGAAGAAGATATCAGTCCTATGTTGACCTCGATGTCGACTTAGACATGTCTGATGAGACTTCTGTCCTGCGATGACTACCTGTCATGTACCAACTGCTGTCTGTGGTAATATTACGTGGCGAGGACCTGATCTCTTCCACAAAGCGACTCTCGTACTATCATTCGAAAACCACAAGAACGACTTAGAGGAAACAAAATACCCATTCGTGACGAATGACTAGGAAATTGTATCATGAAACTGTTCATTCACTAACTTTAAACACCAGAGAAGATGCATATCTTCTTGTTAAAGACCATACCGTGTGACGTTGGTAGTCATGTCTATCCACAATCTTCTGTCTCGTGTACTTTCAATCAGCTCTGACACAGATGCTCTTCTATGCCGTGTGGCGTTGGTAGTCATGTCTATCCACAATCTTCTGTCTCGTGTACTTTCAATCAGCTCTGACACAGATGGTCTTCTATGCCTTGTGGCGTTGGTAGTCATGTCTATCCACAATCTTCTGTCTCGTGTACTTTCAATCAGCTCTGACAAAAATGCTCTTCCATGTCGTGTGGCGTTGGTAGTCATGTCTATCCACAATCTTCTGTCTCGTGTACTTTCAATCAGCTCTGACAAAGATGCTCTTCCATGTCGTGTGGCGTTGGTAGTGATGTCTATCCACAATCTTCTGTCTCGTGTACTTTCAATCAGCTCTGACACAGATGCTCTTCCATAGTATGACGACAAACTGTCCAGCATCATGTTTCTGGTTCCCCCTCTGCCTCTTCTCTCCTCCAACTTTCCTACCGTCACGATGTGTTCCAGTTTTCTCCTTCTCATCACATTACCAAATAATGTAGATTGCCTCTCTCTGATGTGGGTAATCAGTTTTCTTCATGGTGTATCTCTAATGGAACACTAAATGACCTATATGAATCACACGGTGAAGAACTGACTATCAGTAAAGAATCAATCAATGAATCAGATGCAGTCTGCGCAATGAAGTTTGTCTTCAGTGGATCTCAGTCATGCTCTCAAGTTTTGATTGTACACTCTCGGACTACTGTTTGTCGACCTTTTGATGTTATCCTCCCATTGTATCGTTGTCTAACTCTTAATTTTTTGTCCTCGACCTTCCCCTTCAGTGTAGGAGTGTTATGTCTTCTGACGTGGTTAAAATATTTGAACAGTCCACCCCCCCCTCCCACCCCCATAATTATTTGTACAGTAACAGATTAGAACAGTTTAATCAGGTCGCAAAACAAGAAAATACAATAATTGATGCAGTTTTATTTAAACCTGGCTACAAATGTCACCGACTGAGGATAATTAGCATAGAAACGTCTACAACATATAGTCAGAAATACTAATGTGTTAAAACCCAGAAACAATAAGTAAAAAAAGTAAGGGACCCTTTTCCACGCCTTTAGGCTATAGAACATATAGGGCTAGACCTACATTTTATAGACCAACGGCACAAGACGGGCGATGTGGTCAGCATCACGCCGGACGCCTTTACTTCCCGGGACTACACCCGGTACCTACTCAAGGCTGTGTCGACCTGGGAGCCAAGGTCATTTTTGAAGAAAAGTCCTGCTCCGCCAGGGAGCGAACCCACGACCTTCCGATCCGCGGCGCGCGTCTAGCCGCTCTGCATCGGCGACTCCCCCAGAAACAATAGCCTGCTTAATTAAACTAAAACAAAAAAGCCTACTACATCTTAAGTGATATTATAAAATGCAGCTAATCTACTTCAGGGGGCATAACTTTTCAGCTAAACTATTGTCTGAGTTGCTTTCCCAGAGAAGAAAGTTGTTTTTGTAGTTTTCTGTTTGTCAATGAGGATTACTTCTCCGGGGGATTATGATATTCTATTCTGAAACAAAATATGTGAACTACTAGATGTGAACTAACGTGAAAATCAAACATGTGACCGTATGTTGGTAAGTTAAGGACCTTTGTTACCAACGTGATGTATCAGACATATGATGTTAGTCAAAAATCTTTATGGACAAAGCGGCAGTCGTATCAACATCACGCCGATCGCTTCTACTTCCCATGACACGACATGACATGGTACATTCTTTTTTCTGAGTCGACTTGAAAGCCAAGGTCAATTAAACAAAAATAAAATAATAGATTCTGATTTCCTTACATACAGCATTTTGTCTCGTCTACTTTCAGTCAGCTCTGACACAGATGATCTTCCATGCCATGATGTCAGACTGTCCCACATCTTCTCTCTGGATCTCTCTTGGCCTCTTTTCCACTCCAACTGTCCTACTGTCACGACGTACCCCAGTTTTCTCCTTCTCATCACATGGGCAAAGAATGTATTGTCTATTTCTGACGTGGGCAGTCAGTTCTCATTGTGTGTTAGTTTCTTTAAAGATGTCTTCATTGCTCTTTTTCTCTGTCCAGGGTATTATCATGCCTCGTCTATAAAACTTAATCTCTGCAGCTTTCAAATAATTGTTCACTAGTCTACCGACTGTCTATGATTTGCTTCCGTATATCAGGATATGATTTATTCATTCATTCATTCAGTAGCATGTCCCTCGTGGAACCTCGCTGCCATAACAACCCTCCTGAAAACCTTCCTATCCTTGCAAGATGTCGCTGCGTCTGATATACCCCATCTTGAGATCAATTCTGCCACATCCTGCACCCATCTTCTTTCCTCCTGGCCTTCTCTCTTCTCTTCCCAGGCTATACCCCCTCCATTACTTGTTCTCTCTAGACTTCCAAGCGTTTCAATTGACCACAATATTTCAATTTCTTTGTTTTATTGTCTTTACTAGCCAACCCTCTTCAATATTCAGCTCTTGAAGTATGGATGCATTTGTTCTTTTCTTTACCCAAGATATTCTTAAAACCTGTCTATAAATATGATTTATACAGCATTTAAAAAGCATTTAAGAATTATCTTTCTCGTCTCAATTGACAAAGAATGGCTACTGAAGTAAAATACAATATCTGCATTATATGAAAGTACAAATGTGACATAGTAGTCTAATGTTCGCATGGAGTCAATCTCGTATACTCTACCATGTTGGAACTTCACAAAGCTGTCAGGTGTACTAGAGTCAACTAAAATGTCTATACAGTATAAAGGCGATCAGAACGTCTGTTATCATAAAGGCGATCAGAACATCTGTGTATCATAAAGGCGACCAGAACTTCTGTGTATCATAAAGGCGATAAAAACAACTGTGTATTATAAAGGCGATCAGAACATCCGTGTATCATAAAGGCGATCAGAACATATGTGTATCATAAAGGCGACCAGAACCTCTGTGTATCATAAATGCGATCAAAACACCTGTGTATCATAAAGGCGATTAAAACATCTGTGTATCATAAAGGCTATCAGAAACAAAAATGCGTATCATAAATGCGACCATAACATCTGTGTATCATAAAGAGGACACGCTCTATGAAGTCGATATACCCTCCTGTGCTCTGTTAAGCAAGCGCCGGTCCACTATTAAGCGACTGCCTGAAACAATTCAGTGTTGGCGTTGTGGTTGACTATCTCCCATTTTCCGATCCAAGGTCCGGTGACTCTTGTGTCAAACTCCCAGTCAGTTGTTCCGCCCTGTGAAAAAAAAAAAAATGTGAATGACATGACTACACTTGGATGACAAAATATATGTCCTGTACTTAAGGATTCTCAACTACAGTAACATCAAGGCTCCTTCAATCTATTTTGCCACTGTCTTGATTTGTTACCGCAACACGTGTTTTTGTTTAGACTTTTAGAACAACTCACAGGGTCAACTATTTCACACTGGCAAAGATGTCATGAAAACAAGGTCAACACGTCATTTATGCAACGTCATTTTATTTTTCGTGGAAGACATCCCCAGTCTCAGGTATCCCAAGTCTCAGGTATCCCCAGTCTCAGGTATCCCCAGTCTTCGGTATCCCCAGTCTCAGGTCCCCGGTCTCAGGTATCCCCAGTCTCAGGTATTTATAGTCTCAGGTATCCCCAGTCTCAGGTATCCCCAGTCTCAGGTATCGCCAGTCTCAGGTATCCCCAGTCCCAGGTATCACCAGTCTCAGGTATCCCCAGTCTCAGGTATCCACAGTGCCAGGTATCCACAGTCTCAGGTATCCCCAGTCCCAGGTATCCCCAGTCTCAGGTATCCCCAGTCTCAGCACACCTGTAATCTCGTCATCCCATTGTAGGATGCAATTTTTAGTTATTTTATAGCCTGGCCTTTGCCAGGGGCCCCTAAATGTGGCCTGGCCTGAAATAAGGCCTTATGGCTAAACGGGGTTTCTGGGACCTCTCCACTGGTGATCCTGATCCGCATGGTGGCACTTTGTGTCACCGGGTTTTTATCGCTTGTGGGAAGTCCTGGTGGGGTACAAATTACATACATGCATACAGTCTCAGCAAGCGAAGCCCGTCTGCGGGCCAACAGCTGCTACTTCCCATAAATTGCTTGCTTATTTTCAAATTTTTTTTCCCTTAAATTCGATCTAATACTAATAAACCGTTGAAATATTTTTAATAGAGCCACTTGGACGGGTTTCAGTTGATCAACTAAGCTTTCAGATCTAATAGTGTATATTATTATAAATGTTACAATATATTTGTACCAGTTTGGCGTATTTCTTTTGCCAGACTTCCTTCCTATCAACGGCAAAGAATTTGGCCCAGTCAGGTTTGAGGTTTGGTTGATCCGGTGATCGGAAGAGGATGCCCTCTTGGATTCCGTAGAAACCGTAGTCGTGTCTCGGAGACTGCCATCTTAAATCCACGCTCCAGCGGACATCATTGGATACGTTAGGTAAGCTGGAATATTTCATCAGAATATATTTACTGGATACAGAGTGTGATCGGTCAATGACGACATGAAGAATAAACAGTAGGCGATGTTGAAATTAAGAGCACCGAATTTAAGTAGATCAAAAAAGACAAGTCATACATTGTTTTAGAACAGCCGCCGTAACCACACGCTTCTCTGCGGATTCAATGGTCGTGGGTTCAAATTGAAATGGAGCCAGACCATTTTTTTTTTATGTTCAAAGATAACCTTGGCTGCCAGGTCGACCCAACCTAAATGGATTTGATTTGAGTTGAGTTTCAAGCATCGACATTACAACTCTTAGGACTTTCCCATATGGGCTCCGTCCCCATCTTCAGTAGCCAACGAATAGTTCCGAACTCCAATGGTACCAGTAGCGGTGTGATTGTATGTCCACCTGGCCTTTCTTCTGAGTCTGGAGAGTTTCCCAGATGCTTTGATCACTGCCCGTTGCATCATTCTCTTCAGACCATGATATCTATTTGTGCTTCTGTATTGCTCACCCGCTTACAAAAGGTCTTGACAACATTCAGCTTGACATGAATCCTTATACCGTTTGTTTGTCATGTACAAATCATTTAGTAACTCTCAGTGCCGACTGGGTTTGTATCCCAGTTTAAAACGTTAGAGAAAATACATCTATGTCCGCCAGATAAGACTGCAGTGTAATCGATACTATAAATCTGCCACCAAGAGAAACTTGAGTACGCAGGACAAAGGCCACTTCTACATTTTCTAAAGTGTTTTATATATAATAAACAAACAGACAATGTATTGATAGGCATTGATAGAAAGAAGTAGAAAGATAGAAGGACACATTACACAACATCAAAATAGAAAGCTAAAGTTACCGAACCTGTCACCTCCAAATGGGAATGGTTTACCCTCTGTTTATTTATGTGAATTTTCTTAAGCTGGTCACAAGAACTAACTTATTCATGTGCGTCATAATTATAATAATGTAGTGAATTGTACCTATAATATATCTGAAATAATATAAAGTGTTCATAAAAAGGAAAACTTCTATAGCTTATATTATACACATGATCACAGCGGTTGATTAGCCCCCTGGCAAATTTTCTAGTGACAGTTCAGCATTCCCCCGTAACTAAGATTATGTTGGTTGACTGCTCAAGATGCACCAGCCTCTGGGTTTCAGGTCCCATTGTCCACCATCCTCCTCATCATCATTGTTATCACCACAATCATTATCATCAGCACCAACATCATCATCATCATCACCACCACCATCACCTACCATGATCATCAAGTGCCTCGCCGACTGGCATGAATTGTGCCTCTCCACAATATGTGATCCTCAACAACATGGAGCAGCTCGCGTGCTGATACCCCTCCATGCTATGACAACAGACTGCGAGGAATCTTCTCGCCTTGTCTTCCTGTGTCTCTTTTCCACAGATATTGTCACAACTGTCCCAGTTTTCTAATTCCTCCCCACCCCCCTTCCCCACTCCCACAGACACAAGCGCGCGCGCACACACACACACACACACACACAATGGTGATTATCTCTGTCAAATGTGTTGTGGTATGTTGCCTTCGAGCTTTCGCCTTTTTTCAAAACATCTGGGTCGCTCATTTTGGCTGTGGAATGAATTCTAGGATGTTTTCTATAAAAGCACACCTACGTGTCCTCGAGAAAGTGTTCGGCTTGTGTGTTAATTGGTGAGGATTGACAGCCGTATATTAAAACTGGCTGTATAGAGCATGTCAGAATTCTTCTCCTAACCTCCAGCAACCATCATTGTTATTTGATATTACCAAATATTACAGCAATAGAAAACTAGTAATTTGACGACAGTCGGCATTGCCTGTTTTGTTTGAAAAAAAAAAAAAACCCTCAAACACACCAACAACAATAGCAACATCAACAACAACAACAAGAAGTAAGCTGCAAGTAAGTAAGTGACTGTCAAACGGCAGTGGAGTGACATTAATTCAACTGTACTCGGTGGATGCTGTTGTCAATAAAATACCAGCCAATAGTTGTTCAGTTCCGTTAATTCTAGTTACTTCTCCCCCCTACCCCCTTTCCTGCTCTGTTTCATTCCTCTGGGTCTGCAACTTGATGGTTTGATACCACAGACACGGCTGGGATACCAGTCACCATGAAAAATGCGTCATATTCAGCCCAACCTTGTCAGGTTGTTTTATTGGTGCACACTGTGGCTGCAACTTGGTGCACCCTGTGGCTACAACTTGGTACAGCCTGTGGCTACAACTTGGTACATCCTGTAGCTACAACTTGGTACACACTGTGGCTACAACTTGGTGACCCTGTGGCTACAACTTGGTACACCCTGTTGCTATAGCTTGGTGACCCTGTGGCTACAACTTGGTGCAGCCTATGGCTACAACTTGGGCACCCTCCTGTTCCTTGTGAGTAGAAGAACTAGGTAACCATCCAATTTTAGCCCGATGTTATTGTAGTTGGACAATTCGGTGAATTCGATCTGTTTACCTATTTCTTTCTCCCCTCACCTTTCTGCTGGGTGTAGTCAGTGTCTACTGTTTCTGGTTCAGTGGTTAGACTTATGACCTGCCACACTTTCAAGGTTACATAATGTGCTTGTTGGCTTTTTGAAAACCATTTGCACTTCATTACATATGGAAACATTTTCCTCCCTTTTCCTAGGCTTTTTCCTCTAGCTGTGTTGCCATTTGTTATAGTGGCAAAAGGCAGCAAAAATCAAATGAGACTCGGATATAATATCTTTCACTCATAACTTGTCTCCTAGATATGCCGGTGTGTTGGGAGACGAACAAGCAGTTATTTTGGCTAGTTACGGGATCTGGATATATGTAGCCTGAAGATACAGACTGCTAAAGACCCGTTAAGAACGCCTGAAAACCTTGGAAAAGCACGGGGTGACTAGATGATGTTGGCGACAATTAAAGCTCATAGGAAAGCCAAAATGATAATACATTGATAGTGTAGTTGTTGCCACTTTTGTGGTAACAATTCTGTCCTGGTAACTGAAGATGGGACCGAGGCTCCGCGTGCTGCCATGTCCAGCCATAGATTTGTGGCAGTATATTGTCACCAACACTGTGTAACCGATGCAAACTACACGAAGACATCAATATGTCAATACTTGTGAGAAGATATCCCTGAGAATACTGCAGATTAAAAACCCCAAGACCCAGTGAGAGATGAGGCTATAAGACATACACTGTGAACAACATAGAGTATAATTTGTCCGACGGATATAATTTTACTTTTTATAAATTACTACCCCCCCCCCCCCACACACACACACACACACACATACGAACACATACACCCTCCCCCTTCTTTTGAAATACGGATCGTAAATAATGTCAGTATTTGTCCTTCTTGGTCAGTCAAGCCTCAAACAATCTCACAGTAACATTGAAATTCAAAACCTGTTTTAACTCTTACGAAATAGTCCAAAACTATTCGGATGTTGTTACAGGAAATCGCATGTTTTCAGGATATTCTTGTCAGGTTTGCAGTCGTTGCGCCGTAGGCTTTTCATTCTGTTTTACTTTTGTAATTTCTAGTGGACAGTCTCCATTATTTATTAGTTATTACTGAGTTAGGCTCGTTGTAGATTAGAATCTCCATTTTATGGGCATCTTCTTGGCCGAGCTACTCTCACAAGACACAAGGCTGTATAGCAGAACAATGCATTATGTTTACCTGCAACACGAAATTTATGGGACAAAGCGTTTACAAACGGAGGGATCTAGTTCAAGTTATTTTTCTCTAGCTCCTACTCCGAGTGATGATTACAGATAATGTGAAGTGGGAGACATTACTATAAGACGAGAAATGCGAGAAAAAGGCTGACAGCTGAGTTACCTACCTTCTGTGTGGTGTTAGGTTATTAAAGAGTATAAAGCCTCCGTACCCCACAGGCTCCACTTTAATGTCTTCTTGTAAGTCAACGCCTGGAAATGCAAGGTTGGTTGGATTGTCAACATAAAAACAACAACAACAAAAAAAAAAAAAAAACAATGGCTGTTATTATTGTATTTGTTTTTGCCACTGCTAAAGATGATGTTAAAACATGCTTATGTAAATCGCTACTGAGATAATAATGTCTTGGCGCAGTTATGATAGCGCAGTGAGCTTTTCATTAATTGAAGACAAGATTCAGGTAAGCAGTCTGTTAAATCAGAGGTTCTAAATTAATTAGGACGCGGGACCTCCCTTATTTTCGAAGATCTGCCTTAGACGCTCACACTTTTTTTTTTTTTTTTTTTGAAGGTCATAAAAAAATATTTACTAGAATCCCAAATAAAAAATATTGATATCACGGAGCAAAAAAATGTGTTCTGATTTGCACCAGAGCACCGCTGAGTTGGCTGAAGCCACTGGCAGCGTAGCTAGAACGATTGACTCTGGTGACCCAGGTTCGATTCTCAGTTCAGGACGCAGATTTTTGGGGAAAGAAAAATAGAAATTCAAATCTGTGCTTGTAATGGTACCAGCTCATCGGCCTCATTATTTAAAGTTGACAGCACCCCGTCATTCGCCAACTTAAAAGTGTTAAGGATGGACATTTAATGTAGCCAGCTAGATTATTGTCTACGTGTCATGTGTGTTCGGTTTGTGTGCTATGAGCATGTCTGCATATGTGTGCATACCTATTTGTCTGACATTCAAACCGTCCGTCAAGCGGTCTGTGTATATTTCTATGTCCATCTTTCTGTCCGTCCTGTCGTCTGTTTTTCCCTTTTTTAGTCCATCAACCTCTGATTTACTGACTCACTCACCCACCCAATCACCCATCACCAGTTCAACCACCCATTCACTCATGCAGTCACTCACCCAGTCACTCACTCACTCACCCACCCAGCTACTCACTCACTCACTCACCTATTCACTGACGCACTGACCCACCCACATACCTACTCACTGGCTTACTCACTCATTTACTCATCGACCCATTCATCCACCCACCTTTCCACTCACTCACTCACCTACTCACCCACTTACTCGCTCACTCATATACACACACACACACACAAACACAAAGGGGAGCTGAGTGGTCTCGACGCATGGCTTCCGCGTCTAGTGCTGGAGGTTCCGGGTTCAGGCCCCAGTGAAGGCTGCGATTTTTCACGTGACCTTCTAATAATTTGTCCTGGTTTCTGGGTAGTGAAACAGGACGCCCGTATGTATTGCTGTGCACGTAAAACAAAGCCTTGGCAGTATGAAATCGAAAGAAGTAGCCTTACGGCCCTGCCCAGGAAAAATGTGGAGTTAAAAGTCTACCCAAAGTATTTCAGGATCCTCGCCGGTGCTACGGTGTTCCTGCACTGCGCTGAGCTTCTTGGGACTTAGGCTTGAGTTAGAAGTAGAACGGAGCACTTATGGCTTACCACCCTTGTGCCATGATGTTGATCCGTTGTATAAACAAACAAACAAACACACACACACACACACACACACACACACACACACACACACACACTATCCTGGTGTCAACTCAATGTGTGATCTCACCAAGAGTGTCCCTCATGTCCTCCTCCTTCAGCATGACATACCAGGTGGGCCCAGCACAGCAATCATGAACGGCTACCTTCCCCAACCGGTGCCCGTTTTTGGCCATCTGTGCAAACCAAACGTCATCACAGTGAGAGCAACCTAAGCGACAACCTATTATATAATAACCAAAAGACCAGAACAAAGACGACTTAGCCTAGTCTCACATGCAGGCAAACCAGATCTAAGTGGTGTTTGAACAGAATGGCAAAAATCCACTGCAGTCGAGATAACTGACATTAACACAAAATTAGCCCAGCTCTCTAGAGTAGTTGGCTAAACCAGATTTCGCGGTGACCGGGTGACGAACTCCTTGTGGTCCGGGACTCACTCCTGGGGGTAGGCAGAAAAGCCACATTTCTCCCAGATTTGCGGTATTTATCATGGAATGAAGGCCGACAAGTTGCAATATCCATAATACCGAGCTTAAGGGTTAACAACACATGGCTTCTGGATACTAATACAAACAAACAACAAAACAAACAAACAACACAAAATTAAACAAGCAGTCACACCAACTGAAGGTTTCCCAAAAGTCGTAGCCTTCAAACTTTAACAAATATCTCAAATTTCCGAATGGATCACCATAATTTGTGCATGTAGCCTTAGATTTTTAATGTTTCTACGATTTTATAATATACAATTGCACAGATGCTGCTGTTTTCTTAAAGCGAATTTATTTAATCTTTTTGGACAAATAATATATGTACCCCTCGACGTCTGTGGCTTAGTCGTTACGAACGTGCTTTGTATTGCCGGGGTGACGGGTTTGCTTCCAAATGCGAACAGATTGTGTTCAGCTGGTTTTGACAACTGTGCCGAGAGCTGACCATCAAGCAGCAAAGTACTAAACGTAAAATATGCCTAGAAAAACCACAACAGCCAAAAATTGCCGGGGTTTATTCTGCAAAGTCATGTAAATGATATGCGTATCAACTAACTGTTAACCCCTAAAAATAGAATATACAATAAATGACACAACTCGTTTACTTTTTTTATGAGCCAAAGGTGTATCCTTAAACCCAAAGCGTGCATTTTTGTCTTTTCAGGGTTTGATAAAGAACAAAACAATTTACCCCATTTAGCTTGTGCAAACGTATTCATAAATCTACATTGCGATGTTTTAAAGTGTAACCAATTTCATTTTTTAGGCTCACGGCAAATGTACTCTTACATCACGTGATTGTGAAACGACAATGAACTGAGTTATATTTATGTAAATGAGATTACGACGTATTCACTTCACAATTCAAACTGTCACTTTATTTTTTTTTCTTCCTAAACATTACTTGTAAATTCGAGCAACTAGATTTTTTTTTTTTAAAAGTTTGTGTAACATAATAAAATAGAAACATGCTAACTGTATGGTTTAAATCGGTGTCTGTGCTTCCATATACCGCAAATGAGGCAAATAAAAACCTGATCTTTGCGCACACAATAATTCTTTTCCTACAAGGACATAATTATTAAAAGCTGCATTCCAAATTTGAACAATTTACGCTTAACGATTACTGAGTTACAGATCGGTAAAGCTGGACACTTTGAAAGGTACTATGGAACTCACAGGAACAAGGGAGGAGGGGCTGATAGAGAGAGAGAGAGAGAGAGAAAGAGAGAGAGAGAGAGAGAGAGAGAGAGAGAGAGAGAGAGAGAGAGAGAGAGAGAGAGAGAGAGAGAGGGAGAGAGGGATAGACATTGAGAAAGGACACGCACACAAAAAAAAAAAACAACAACAACAACAAAACAAAAACAAAAAACAAAACAAAGACCATGTCGATAAATGTGGTTTCTTTGTCAATAAGTGGTTTCTCCAGGACATTATCTACATCTATGTACCAAGTAGATATTATCAACGTCTATGTAACTAAGGGATATTATCTACAACTCTGTAACTAGGGGATATAATCTACATCTATGTAACTAAGGGATATTATCTACATCTTTGCAATTAAGGAATATTATCTATGTCTCTGTAACTAGGGGATATTTACATCTATGTAATTAAGGAATATTATCTATATCTATGCAACTAACGAATATTATCTACATCTCTGTAACTAGGGAATATTATCCAAATCTCTGTAACTAGGGGAAATAATCTACAACTATGTAACTAAGGAATATTATCTACATCTCTGTAGCTAGGGGATATCATTTACATCTATGTAATTAAGGAATAATATGTATATCTTTGCAACTATGGAATATTATCTACATCTCTGTAACTAAGGGATATTATCTACATTTCTATAACTAGGGGATATTATCTACATCTCTGTAACTAGGGGATATTATCTACATCTCTGTAACTAGGTGATATTATCTACATCTCTGTAACTATGGGATATTATCGACATCTTTGTAACTAGGGGATATTATCTACATCTCTGTAACTAGGGGATAATATCTACATCTCTGTAACTAGGGGATATTATCTACATCTCTGTAACTAGGGGATAATATCTACATCTATGTTACTAGTTGACATTAACTACTTGTCTGTACATAGTAGACATTATCTACATCTCTGTACATAATTAAAATTATCTAATCTCTGTACATAAGTAAAGTAAAGTAAAGTAAAGTTCCCTTTTCACGCCTTTTGGCGCATCGGGCATATGGGCAGAGCGTCTCGTATTTTTACAGACCATCAGCACGCTGTGGGTAATGTGGTCAGCATTACGCTGGCTGTCTTTACTTTCCCAGGACAGCAATCTCTGTACATAGTCGATATTATCTACATCTCTGTCTGTACCTGCATGCATCCATTCTCTGGAGTGGCATCCAAAAATGGGAGCCAGGCGGTGGCGATCATGTGATCGTACGATTCGTTGCTCATGTAGGCGCTGTCTGCAAAATAAATCATTGAATAGTTTTTGCTAATTTCCAAAGCTGACATGTTACGATTTATAAGTTGGGTTATCTTAAGGGCACCCCGAACAAGTTAAAAGGGGATCGCCTTTTGCACCAGAATTAAGCGATTAGTAGTGCTAGTCCCATGATGGTTGACAAAACTTCCTGTAAATGATATGCGTATCAACTAACTGTTAACCCCTAAAAATAGAATATACAATAAATGACACAACTCGTTTACTTTTTTTATGAGCCAAAGGTGTTAAAATTCCTAACAAAGCGTGCATTTTTGTTTTTCAGAAAAAAAAAAAATAAAGAACAAAACAATTTTACCCCATTTAGCTTGTGCAAACGTATTCATAAATCTACATTGCGATGTTTTACAGTGTAACAAATTTCATTTTTTAGACTCACGGCAAACTCTTACATCACGCTAGCTTGAGAAACAGCTGCACACATATGTCGTAGTTGTAGCCGACTCACAAAACAGAAAGGTGGAGAAAAGCATGGTTCGTACAGAGTAGAAAGTCTCTCTTCAGAGATTCAAAGAAGTAAACGATATTTGTATATGATCTCCATGGCTTTTAAGTGTTTCCTCCATAATTCTCGAGCAATATCAGTCAAAGAAATAAATCCCTGCCAAGTGGCCAAGTGTTTCTGAATGAAAATATCCGGTGCTGCCCTTGAAGGAATGGATCACACACTTTCTCTCCGCGCCTCTCACCGGCAGAAGTGGAAATTGATGATGATGGTGATGATGATGATGATGATGATTATGATGATGATGATGATGATTTAAGTGCTTGTGGAAACTAACAGTGAGACTGATTAGCTGGTTCTGCACCACTTGGTGTTAAATTATTGCACGACAAGCTACGTGTAGTCAAAGCCTACTAAGAGGAAGTGAACATAATCATCACAGTGTGGAGAGAATGGTATGACCACGGAATCTCACCGACACTATTCACTTAGAGAAAACGTCAGACGAGATTATAATAAAAGTAAGTTAAATCACCCGTTTCCAAGCCTTTTAGGCGTATTGTGTATATAGGGCTAGACCTATATTTTATAGACCAACGGCACAAAATGGGAGATGTGGTCAGCGTGACGCCTGCCGCTTTCAATTCTTCCCAGGACTGCACCCGGTACCCACTCAGGGCGGATCGATCTGGGAACCAAAGTAATTTAAAAAAAAAAAAAAAAGTCCGGCTCCTCCAGGGAACGAACCCACGACTTTCCAATCCGAAGGCGAGCGTCTAGCCGCTACGCCACGGTGACTTCCAGAAATAATATTAAACAAGTGAAAATGAAGCAAACTACCCTGGTGCCAAGGGATGTTGACCGCTTCACTGTAGGGTGTCTTTGTCCTCAAGTTCCAGGTGGGATGTCCGGCAATCTCTGGTCCCAGAATTTGCTCTAGGAGATTTAGAATTCGCTCGTTGGACCAGATTTTCTGAAATGACTAAGAGAATACCAACAACTATGAATAGTACTCCAACATAAATACTATACAGGTAGCCAAGGAAGGAATTTCAGCCTTTAGGCCATATTTATGCCCTAGGACATATTTACGGCCCGGCTATAATCAGCTAAAGCACTAGCTATAAGGAAATTTACACATGACTGTGAAACGTTGACCTTAACAGCTGAAGCTGAAAGAAAGATACACGCATTAGAAATGCGATGTTTCAGAAAAATTCTTGGCAAATTATACAGAGACCACATTACAAACGAAGAGGTTCGCCATAAAATTATACAGCACATTGGCAACTATGAAGATTTTTTTAACTACAGTGAAAAGGCGAAAAATGAAAAATGCATTTGTATGAATATGTAATAAGATCTAACGGTCTCTCAAAAACAATGCTGCAGGGCACAGTAAAGGGTCAGAGGAAAATAGGCAGACCAAGAAAGACCTGGTTACAGAACCTAACTGACTGGACAGATCTCAGGCATGCAGCCATGAAGTCTATCGCAACAAACGGCCAAAGATTGAGAGAGATGATAAGACAGTCAACAGAAACGGGTGACCCAACGACACGTAGTGTTACGGGGTGGTGATGATGATGATATTTAGGGTGGGGGCTTCAAAAAACAAAAATAAATTCATCAAAGAATATGACGACGTTTTTAAAATTGAGTATCGACTGTACTCATCTGCCTGTTTGAAAGTCTGTATTCTTAACCAGTTCTACATATTAGACATGTATTGTCCAATTTCTTTAGTTGTCCCCAATGTACCAGTATTGTGATAAATTGTAAGTGTTTTGGAAAAATTAAATGGGGTGAGTTTATTCATATTCACAAAATCAATAGTTACCTCTGGCATCTTCTGGTATTTAAATAAAAGTATATTTGCTCCTTGGAAATCTTCCTCTAGTTTGGTCAGTCTTTGGAATAACCCATATTCCTCGTACAAACCTGAAAGAACAGGGGAGATAAGTGATGAAACATTATACACACTATGATATCCGTCCTCTACAAGTTTGGGCCCTTCTTTTTCTCCTCTCTGTCTCTCTTTCATCCTTCTCTCATCTCTCTTTCTCTCTTTCATCGCTCTCTAATTCCTCTCTCGTTCTTTCATTTTTCTCACTATCTCATTATAATCGCTCATGTATGTGTCTGTATGCCCCTATGCCTTATGTATGTGTGTACGTATGTGTCTGTGTGTGTTTCTGTGTGTATGTCTCTGTGCCTCTTTCTGTGTATGTCTCTCTATGTGTGTAAGAGTCTCTGTGTGTATGGCTGTGCGTGTTTATGTGTGTGTGTGTGCGTGCATGACAGTCTCTGTATGTCTGTATGTGTTTCTGTGTGTATGTCTGTGTGCCTCTTTGTGTGTGTCTTTCTGTGTGTGTCTGTATGAGTCTGTGTGTGTGTGTGTTTGTGTATGGCTGTCCGTATATCTGTGTCCGTGTGTCTGCGTGTTGTATGTCTGTGTGTGTAAGTCTGTCCGTGTGTGTCGCTGCGTGTGCGCATGTGTCTGTGCATGCTTATGCGTGTCTTATGCAAGGATGCCTGTATGTATGTGTGAGTGTTGTGAATTTATGAATGCTCATAGGCGTGAATTTATGTATGGATGGATGTATGTATTAAAGTGTGTATGTGTGTGTGTGTGTAAGTTAGTGAGCAGGTTTGCGTATGTATGTAAGTGTATGTGTATGCGCGCAAGTGTGCGTATGCATTTTACTACCCATTCTTTTTTTTCCCTAATACTCATTATATGCATATTATTATATGAACGTGATAAAATGCAATTGCTGTGTGAAAGATGGGCGTTTGAAAGGGTGGAATGTACCACAGGCCTGCCTGCCCATTTTATGAACCTTTAAAAATAAAGTTCGTTAGCTCGTTCAATTGACCCCCTCACACAAACACAATACTAGTCGATGTTTCTCTTCAGTTTGTTGCTTGATTGTTGTGATCTCTGTTTGATAACCCGACAGACCAGGTTTCATTCAGCTGCAAGCTATGTGACAGCAGACTGCTTTGCGTTGATCTCAACAGCTGTGTGAATTTTAATCCGTGCAGAAAGCAAAGGCAAACTACCAGTAGTAAACATTGCCTAGTAAAACCACAAACATCCAATGAAAACTGGAGTTTGGTTTGTGGTGTTCTGTTGAGGATATGCAAGAAAAGTGTCTTCAGTGCATTATTTAAATGGACTCAAACAGTTCGATCGGTGACTACAATTTAAAATGAACCACTGGCAAGCTAGCAAAACTTTCGCCTGCGGATCCGAAGACCGCGGGTTCAAATATGGACGGAACCGGACATTTTTAAAAATAGCTTTGACTTCTAGGTCGACCCAGCAATAAATGGGTACACGGTAAATGCATGGAAAGTAAAGGCGACCGGTGTGATGTTAACCACATCGCCCGCCGATTGCCGATTGGTTTTATAAAATATGGGTCTAGCCCTTTGTACCCAGGACGCCTTGAGGCGTGGCAAATGGTCCATTGCGTTTTACAGTTATACTGGATGCATACACGCAGACGCTATTAAACAATCACACACACGCGTTCATATATATATATATATATATATATATATATATATATAGAGAGAGAGAGAGAGAGAGAGAGAGAGAAAGAGAGAGGGAGATAAAGAGAGAGGAGATAAAGAAAGAGAGAAGGGACTTCTGGGTCAGTATTCTGTTTTTGTAACCCCAACCCCTCTCCCTCCCACTGTAGCATAGGCCCTCAACCAACTCACGCTAAGTCGTTCTATTCTTCACTATCGCATGCAGCTCTCCCCATGTCTTTCTCAGTCTGTTTAAATTTACTCTCTAGTTCCCTTTTCCGTGTGTTTTTGGTCCTTTTTTATTTCCATGCCGTATAAAGTTCTACATTCCAGGTGTCAATTGTAGAGGTTTTTTCCTGTGAGATGAGGCACATCGACGATTTGGACTCCTTTTGGCTTTCTCCTCAACATATCATACTTATTCTACTAGAAGAGCCTTTCTTCGATTTCGTTGGCCGCGATTTTCTTTTTTTTTAACTTTCCCATGGTGGGCTTGTTTTTGTGGCTATTGTTTTAACAGGATGGGTTAGCTAACCTCAAGCCCAACCGTACCCTTAGTCGTCTCTTACGACATGCCTGGTAGGGTGCATTGTTACAATTCTGTTCTTCCTGTGAGGATCCCAGTGACACACGAACTGGATCAGCATTACAAGGGAACAAATGTCACGATAAACAGCGACGCTTACTTTGAACTTTTCCCGCCTTGTATAACTTCTGGGCGAGCTGCTCCACCATAGCCTCGATGTCCTTCTTGCAGGGGTCCAGCTCCTCTCGAGTGAAGAAATCTCGAACCACAATGTATCCCTAGCGTGGACATAGTTCAGAGACTGTTTTTTTTTTTTTTTTTTTGGAACATGTGTACTCTCAAACAAAAACCAAATATATTAAAATGATTTAAACTGTTAAAATATTGACTTATCGCACAAGATGACTATACCGTAAATCAAGTTAAGAACTGAGAATCATTTTTGTACTATTTGGTGCAAGTAGCTTTTGGCCACTTTGACTTACAGTTGAAGGGGCACATTTTTATTGACCAGTGTGCACCACTGAGTCATGTAGTCAAAAGCATACCGGTTATCTTTACTTCCAATAAATTGTTTTAATTCCCGTTTTAGGTTGGAAGCGAGTTCAAACCCAATAAGAACAGATGCAAAGGTAGCTGCCTAGGCTAAATTTCTGAAATGGTACCCGCCTTCATCTTCTGCTTTGTCATTTACAGTGCCGTCTGTTACAGTCCTATCATGTGTACGTGTGTGAGTGCGTGTGTTTACGTGTATGTATATATGCGTGTGCGTGTGTGTGTGTGAATGCGTTTGTGTGTAGCTGATTCTCTAGCCAGCAGAAATCCTCAGAAAACCTCTCGACAGACTGTTACTGAACGGCGTCTGTTTACTTCTTTCAGGAACACCCATTTCGAGGTTAGGAAAAGTTTCCAAATAGTATATAGAGCCAGTATTAACATATGGCTCCGAATCCTGGATAGTTATTTAACAGTCCAATCATTTTTTGATATCTCGAAGATGTGTTCTTATAGATGAATCCTAAGTATTTCTTAGACCGCCAAAAAGATCAACCTAAGATTTTTTGTTTTTGTTTTTTTTTTGTTTTATTGTTATGAAAGAATAAAACTGGAAAATGTTGTGAACATTAGACAGATCTGTGGACAAAGAGGCAAGGGAAGACAACGATGACAATTTTTGACAGCCTTGTTTTATGGAACGTAGGGCTGTCAACTCATGAACTGATACATGCTGTTAGAGATTGCAGATTGTGGAGAGGTATGCTCACCCACGCCAGTCGGCAAGACTTGATGATGATGATGATAAACCAGCATTGACTTCTTCATATTTAAACAAAGGGATCTGTATGGTTAACGACATCACCAGAACATGTATTGTCACCAATCAGCTTTTGATTTCCAGCACAGCAGCGTCTACATGTTTTCAGAGGAAGATAGAGATCTGGAAGGCTAGGCCAGAATTATGTAGCGAGACATAAACATTGAGCTGATCAACGATTTTGGTGATCATGTGAGATAGGGTCAAATGTCAGCCTATATAAGCTTTCTCGAACTGCATATGATTCGGATGGGAGTCTACACGTTGTTAACAAAACAAAAAAAACAGCAGAACCTAAAGTAGGAAAGGAACCCCCCCCCCCCCCCCCCCCCCCGCCCAAAAAAAAAAAACAGTTGTAACAATGAAGACAATAGGAATATCAACAACGCGTTAACACAGCATTAACAACAGCAACACCAAGAACAACAGACACATACAACAACAACAAGCAACAGATAATGTTAACAACACGAGCAACAGTAACACATGGCAGATAAAACATCGGAAAGGCAAGATAAACGAAACTATTTAACCATAAGATTACCTCATCGAAGAATTTTTGAATTTCACTTTGAGGTAGCTGTCCGGGTTTTCTGTCAGTGACTGGGGAAGGCGGGGTAGTGAACGCGGCCGGGAACGCTTCATCTCTTAATCCTGGATATCGCTTTCTGTCCTGGGATGTCATCTTGTCCCTGGGTTCTGCTTGGCTTCTGTAACAGTGAATAGAGAAAGTTACATGTTTCATTACACCAGGAAGAAAAACGTGGAGGGGAGGTGGGCTACGGTAACCTAGCCACTTGACGCTTGCCGTCGAGTCCAATGGTCAGAGGTTTAAATCTTATTGAATCCGACTATTGTCAAAAGAAGGTTCTCAGTCGACTCACTCTAATATAGGTACCAGGTAATATCCACGGAAATAAAGGCGGCGGCTGTAATTTATCCATCCACCCACTGATTACCCCATTGGTCTATAAAATACGAGCAGAGACTGACCTACTAGTCCCTAATTTCTTTGCTATTTAATCTATTCGCTGTACGCTGCAGGGCCCATTTTCTAAAGGGGGAGGGAGATACACCCACTGCCCACAAGCATGTCGTTAAAGGCAACTAATTAAGGTTGTGTTTTCGAAATCGCATGGCATCTGCCTAAGAGGTCAGGATCCAGCAGTCCGCACACATATAAGCAGAATTGTAAAAGGGATGTGCAAGCAAAACTTCACTTCTGGAATAAGGTGAAATTCTTAACTAGTTTGTCACAAGGACCCAAGAATGGACGAAAACTCAGGAATTCAGCAATTCATGTTTGCTCAGCGACTCAGTGAGCATGCAACAGAAGATGAAAGCGGGGTATATACACGAAAGCAGTGGCTCCATCTGATACAGCACGCAGCGATTCTCAGAATCGCCTTCACTTTTGTCCCAGACTACATGCTGGTGTGAAAGGCAATGAGAGAGCAGACGCCTTCATTGGCAGTGCGACTATCAGTAACGAACTATCTATGGATAGCAGAGACATCATCAATGCCATACGAGCTGTGGGACTTTCAATTTCGTAGGGAATGACTTGTGGGTGTCAAACTTGTTGATTGCTGCTGCCCATTCCACCCTTGAGGTGTCAAACTTGTTGACTGGTGCGGCCCAGCCCACCCCTAGGATGTCATACTTGTTGACTGGTGCGGCCCATCCCACACCTGGGATGTCAAAATTGTTGACTGGTGCGGCCCATCTCACCCGTGGGATGTCAAACTTGTTGACTGGTGCGGACTAGCCCACCCCTGAGATGCCAGACTTGTTGACTGGTGCGGCCCATCCCACCCTTATGGTGTCAGACTGGTGCGGCCCATCCCCCCTCTGGGGTTTCAGACTTGTTGACTGGTGCGGCCCATCCCACCTCTGGGGTTGCAGACTTGTTGACTGGTGCGGCCCATCCCACCCTTATGGTGTCAGACTTGTTGACTGGTGCGGCCCATCCCCCCTCTGGGGTTTCAGACTTGTTGACTGGTGCGGCCCATCCCACCTCTGGGGTTGCAGACTTGTTGACTGGTGCGGCCCATCTCACCTCTGGGGTTGCAGACTTGTTGACTGGTGCGGCCCATCCTAGCCCTGTGGTGTCACACTTGTTGACTGGTGCGGCCCATCTCACCTCTGGGGTTGCAGACTTGTTGACTGGTGCGGCCCATCCTAGCCCTGAGGTGTCAGACTTGTTGACTAGTGCAGCCCATCCCACCCCTGGGGTGTCAGACTTGTTGACTGGTGCGGCCCATCCTAGCCCTGGGGTGTCACACTTGTTGACTGGTGCAGCCCATCCCACCTCTGGGGTTACAGACTTGTTGACTGGTGCGGCCCATCCTAGCGCTGTGGTGACAGACTTGTTGACTAGTGCGGCCCATCCTAGCCCTGTGGTGTCAGACTTGTTGACTGGTGCGGCCCATCCCACCCCTGGGGTGTCAGACTTGTTGACTGGTGCGGCGCATCCTAGCCCTGTGGTGTCTAACTTGTTGACTGATGCGGCCCATCCCAGCTCTTTGGTGTCATCTGTCCGGTAGCCGCCCGACCATTATAACAGGTAGTCAACATAAATCAAATGACTGGTCCTATTTTCGTTTCCCGCTTTCTCTGGTCTAAGTCATAAGGGCGCCACGTCATACTGTTTTCTTCGAAAAGAGTCTCTCGTGGGACCTAAGCTCATGTTGTGGGTAGGGGATGGGGGGTTGGGTTAGGGCCAGTTGTAGAGGTTATGGAGCCGTTAAAAGCTGTCTTAATGTGAAGTATAGAACATCGGGCATCGTGGCTGATGTAATTGGAGGCAAGACAACGTGGCAGCCCCCCCCCCCTTTCCTGACGTAGAACAGTCTGAGAAAATATGAATTAAAGGTCAGCCAGTGTGTAGATGGGCCGGGAAACGTGAATAAGACCTAGTGACTTTATGTGACCTTTTGGTAGTGAATATATATGTCGTTACGTTAGGTTCACTGACTCACAGATCACTGCACTCCTGTTTTAACCCGAAACAATTTGTCTTGTTCATTCTACCAAGGCTGACATTTAGGGCCTGTTATAATCAGGGAGCTGTGGTGGTGTACCGGCTAGAAGCTCTGACTTAAAAAAAAATGACCTGACTTCCAGGTCGATTACGTCTAAAATGGTTACCAGGAAAATTCCTAGGAAGTTATTGCGGCCTGTGTTATGTTGACAACATCACCCATTGAGTGCTTATTGGTCTATAAAAATGTGAGTCGAAGAACATATACCCTAGTGGTGTGGAGAAACATATCCTTTACTTTCTATAGTCTCGCTGGTAAGCGTTTTAGTGTTTCGTCCTGGTGGCCTTTTATGTAATGCAGACAGAAAATTTTGTTCTGCCTGAATATAAGGTGGTGACGATCTGACTAGAAACCTTTATAAAGTAACAATGATTACAAAATTACACACAAACATTAACTTGATGTTTAAGTGTTTTCATGTGTTATTTGGCGACATGGTGAGCTTGGCCGACCCGTTCTCTCAATGTCCCCTTTACTTCAATAGCAGTTTTCAAACGAAATTATGACTGATCAGTTTTGACAGACTCGACAGACCTGTGAGCTATTGTGGTAGAAATAAAACCAGGCTTCTTCTAGGGATTGAACCGGATAACTTCCTCGGTAATCAGATAGGTAAAAGGTAGAGGGTCCTTTTTTCGTCACCTGTTTTGGCAATGCAGTGATAGCACCATAGACTAATGGCATTCAGTTGTAGATGTGGTCCGTATCAGGCCGGTCCTTGACTTAAAGGATGTTGTGATCAATATAACATTATGGGACTTTCTGGATGTTGTGATCAACATACCAGTCCTGGATATAAGGAGTAGTGTGATCAACATAACCGTCCTAAACTTAATAGACTTTGCATCACGGTCCTGCACTCAGTGGGTGATGCTGTATAGCAGGTGGGCCTTTTTAACTTCCAAGAGTATTTCTTTGTAGTCGTTTTAGACTTGGTCAGACTAGGAGCTCAAATTAACGAAAAAAAAAAAAAAGAAACCTCCCCCCCCCCCCCCCGCCTTTTCTTCCATTTGACAGGTGTTCTAAAATATGATGAATGTAGCTGAAGGCACGCCTTGCAGCCACTGCGCCACCAGCGATTACTGACAGTGGGTTACATAATGGTCAGCCTTGGCATATTCTAGACATACACGGTGAAGCATCAGCTTTCCTTGCAGATCACTCTCATTTTGTGTTACATTCGCAGAAGATGATGAAAAGTGCCTGGTTCTCATTTTGATGATTTGTACGAGACGCAAAAGGGTAGGCAATTGTCTGCTGGGGACTGTAACAGACAATTGCCTTAAAAGGCAAGAGCAGGAGCGGTTGAAAGGTTTGTACACTGTAAAGTAGAATACCAATGGTTTAAAGATTGCAGCAGTCATCATCAAGTTGCAGGTTTGTTGCGGAAAATGTCTCTCATCGCGGCACGCCGGGAAGCAACTCGGTCTTTGACTTGTGTCTCTCCTGATAAACCTTTAAACCCATCGTGTCCTTGATATCCGGTGACCATCGTTGTCCCGGGCGTCTTCTACTTCTACTTACAGAAACCATAATGTCCATTACTGTTCCCTCTACTATTAAGACGTTTAATATAAATTCTGTTGTATGGAGGTTAGGGGTAAGTGAAAAAGAAAAGGGTCTGGGGGACGTGTGCAGACAGGTTAACAGCTGAGGTGTAACAGAAGAAACAAGTTAAATGCATGCAATAAAAAAAATTTGTGTCAAGAAAAACCTATGCTATAATTATCGAAGACAATGCTAGTCACACTCGCCACCATCCTAGACTGTGATTCTCATGTCTCACAATAGACCACAACTACCAAATAGTCTAAAACGATGGAAAATCCGCCCCCTCCCCCTTTCCTTTCTTTGTTTTCCCCACAACCAGATGATCGAAATATTTTAGTCTGAAAACTGCAGTAATAATTAAAGTATATATATCTGTAAGACTAAGGACAAGCATACCTTCTTTCTGTAAAAGGGAATACCTTAGATGTGGTCTGAGGGCAGTTTCAGCAACAGGTGAAAGCTAAGGTATTCCCAGTCACACAACCTGACAAGTGTGTGACGGAATCCACGTAAACTCTGGACTATAAACTGTTGACTGGTAATATGCGTAATACAGGAAGGTAAACAATTTGCTATCTCATATGATTTCACCATTTGCCATTATTTTTCACGGACACATAATGTTTTTCCGATGTGACGAATTTATGCGAATTTTTTTCCCCTTACAGTTTGTGTATTTTGTCCTGTCGTTGGAAGTGGGTACTGCATTTTGCTTTCTAATTTGATTCCATCATCCCCTTAGACGTGAAATTTATCTAGATCCTAATTTTGCATTTGGCTGCGTCCGGGACTTAAGCTTTGCGAGACCGACTCGTAATTCCAACGTTCCGAAGTCGGAAACCCACTGCTGGCTGTGTTGATTTTTATCATGGTATGGGCGTTGCAGGTCGACCCAGCCTTAAAAAAAGGTACTAGGAATGGACATAAGTAATCGTAATTATTAAGAAAATGGACCATCCAAAATCAATATCAAATCAAAGTAAACAGGATAATCCTTAAACCTTTAAATGTTTGAATACGTAGATGTCTTGAAAACAGCGGACTGAAGATGTATAAACGAAGTTAAATGTAGACTAGTTCAAGCATAGGCAGGATTT